CCGGGGCTCCTCTGGCCCCGCTCCAGCAGCTCCGTGTCTGTCCTGTGCTGAGGACCCCAGAGCTGGGGGCAGCACCCCAGGGGGGGTCTCAGCGTGTACCTCTGTCTGTGGAATGGGACAAAGCTCCTTAGTGACCAGAACTGCGAGGACAGTTTGCTTTCTCCTAGCCGTGTCTTTTCTGCAGAAAACTCCTTAGGGAGCGTGATCTGTGCAGCTGGTATTCCAGCTCTGGCAGAGGCGCTTCCACAGTGTGTAGTTTTGCATTCAGCTGCTGTCAGGATGGGTGGTTTGGCTGGTTCTCAGGGGACTCTGTCCGTGCAACGCACACACGTGGATCACTTCCTCCCCACTCCAGACTGCTGAGTACAAGGCCTGCCCCGGGCTCCCACATGGTGAGGTATCATGATCACACATTGCCCAGAATTTAATTTTTTTCACCGTCCTGCTCTGACTGAGGCAGCCACGTCATGCCCTCAGCTTCTCGTTGGGTGCTGCAGCCGCGGCACAGCCCTCGTGCCCCCAGATGAACGGCGGCGACAAGGTCGGGAGCCAAGCAACAGCTCAGTGGGGACTTGCTGACAGTCAGGGAGCTGAGACCGGTGAGCCAGTCTGGTTTCCAGCTGCAGGACTATTGTACCTCAAAGCAGATTTCTCCAAAGCAAAGGGAAAAGCAGCCGAGGGAGGAAGAAGAAACGTTCCAGATACCTCGCCAACACACTTAACCAAAGTTGAAGCTTATTCAATTGCCATACCTTGGTGTGTTTTCCCAGAGTACCTCATAGTAGCCACCAGCAGAAGCACCAGTTTGCTGAGTCCTGACTGTTCTCATTCCTTTGACAAGCTGAGGAAGTGATGTTGAGAGGAACCTCCCGTGTCTGCTGTGCTCTGGCCAAAGATGCTTTGCTCCACTTGTCCCTTGTGCTGTCCTGCTTCCATCCTGTCCCTTTTGTGGCTTTTTACAACATGGAAATTTCCCCTTCTACCCCTCCAGCAACACTGCAAGATGAAAGAAAAGAAAAACTGGCTGGAGCCTCAGGTGAACCAAGCAGGGACCTGACTGCTGGGGCACGCTGAGCTGCGCGGGGTGGGCGGGAGCAGCTGGGGTTTGGGGTTGGGTTTTTTTGCTCTTAGCCAGAATACTTCCTATAAAACTCTGCCTGCTTGTGCAGGAGCCCTAAAATTCTGTATTCTGAATGCAGAGAGGCAATTGTAAGGGCAAGACTTGGTATAGTCCCAGCCTGTGCCCCGCAGCCTGTCTGGGGTAGAGGGGTGACTGCGCCAGACCTGCCCCAGTCCGTGCCGCGTGGCTGGTGTCCCGGGGTGGATCTGCTGCTTCTGTGGTCCCGTCTGCGCTCCACTGTGTAAGAGCGGGGCATTCACAGAGCGTGGTGTTTGTCCTCTGCTTCAGTTTCTGAGTTGATGACTAACATATCACTGGGACTTTCCTACTTGCTGCTGTTTCCCCAGCTCTTAGACGTGGGGAAATTTGCCATAAGCTGAAGATTTTGAGGTTGGCTGCTTCTCCCCGGCTCAGCCACTGCTGGTTTCACTTGCAGTGAGCCGCCCACACAGCAGCAAGAATTACAACAGGGTGAGGAAGCACTGGACTGCCTTCTGGGGGTAGAATTTCCACACCTGCCTCAGGGCTGTAACCAGTCCCTGGCCCGTGCCTTGATGCTCTGGAGAGTATCTGTGAGAACCAGCCCGGTCCGTGCTGGCCGCGGGTGGCCCAGTTTTGCGCTCGTGGCCCTTGGCGAGCAGCAGCAGAGGTCCCGAGGAGCTCACGCTGCGTCCGCTGGCCAGTGCATCCATCGGACCTGCTCGGGGCCTGGAGGTTACACGGGGCCGCTCGTTGCTCTGATCCCCCTGCCCAGCGGAGGGGCTCCAGAAGCACACAGCGTGCTCCTCCGCAGCACAAGGGAGGCAGCGGAGCCGGCAAGTGGGACCCACAGCTCCGCGGGTGCTGCTGGTTCCGTGGCCTCGCTGAGGGCTGCGCTGGGCCCTGCCACTCACACTCCCATCCAGAAGCATCAGGATTCTTACAGCTTCTGCTAGGCCACCCTCGCTCTTCCTGGGACTTGTCTTAAAGACCTCCAGCCGTGCTCCCCAGCGTGAAGGACCAACACACTCAGCTGCAGTCCGTCTTGTCTCTATTTTGCAAGTTACCTGCCACTGTTGTAGCTTCTTGCTGCTCCTACCACATCACTTTCCAACTTCCGCACGCACACGGCGGCAGGGTAAGGAGTGTGGAAACTCAGCTGCGCAGAGCTGGTCGCAAAACAGCAGCCAGGGGACCCGAGCAGCTTCCTCGTTCGAGAGCCCTGCAGCATCACGGTGCAGCCCGGAATCCCCCAGCCCCTGCACTGCGGAGGAACAGCCTGCAGGTTCCTTCTTGCTGAGCACTGCAAACATTTGCTGGTGCTGATTTGGATGCAGATACATCGATGTGACACAATTTAATCACGTAAGTCCCTGTGCTCTAGTGGAGCCGATAACCCCATGTTCTGGCCTTTTTAGCCTCAAACAAAACGAGCTCCTGCCTTCTGCCACCTTGCAATGAGCTCCTACCAGCACCATAGCAAAGCCACAGCTTCACCGCCCTTGGACTGCCCCAAGAAAGTCTCACGAAGCCTTTTGGCCTCTCTGTGCAGAAATGTATTTTGAAATTTTGAAAACGTTAGTTACTTTGGAGCAATCTGTTTCCACAAAAACCCTGTTTATCTCCAGTTTTGTTAGTATGCCCCAACCTATCGCAAGGTGCTGCCCATCACCTCTTCCTGCAGCCCCATCCTGCCTGTTCTCCTGGAGACATATCGCGTCGCTGCTGGTGACACGAGAAGCCGGTAACTGAGGGCGGCGGCGGGTGACACGAAAAGCCGGTAACTGTGTTCGGGTGCCTGTTCTGCGGGTTTGGGAGGGAGCCAGCACCGCTGCTGCAGGCTGGGCTCTGCCCTGCGATCGTCTCCTGCGGCTCGCTGCTTGCCGCGTGCAACGGGAGCTGCTGGCTGTTGCTTTGAAGGTGCTTCCAGAGCCAGAGGCTGACACAGCTCGTGTGTCTTCACCCGCGAGAGACGGAAGCTGCCCAGGGCTCGGGTGCCTGTTCTGCGGGTTTGGGAGGGAGCCAGCACCGCTGCTGCAGGCTGGGCTCTGCCCTGCGATCGTCTCCTGCGGCTCGCTGCTTGCCGCGTGCAACGGGAGCTGCTGGCTGTTGCTTTGAAGGTGCTTCCAGAGCCAGAGGCTGACACAGCTCGTGTGTCTTCACCCGCGAGAGACGGAAGCTGCCCAGGGCTCACTTGGCTGCCGTACCCACCCCAGGTGGGGGAGAGCTGCTGCCGGGCGGTGTGGGTGGGGTGTGCTGATTTTTGACAGCTGTGGTAAAACAAAGATCCAAGAGGCTCAGGTGAGGCTCTTTCCATAAATAGCTGCATGCTAGCAGCAGGGCTCAGGTCTTGGTGCATTCCTGTGAGCAGAGGTGTGGGGACGAGCTGAAGGATGCTGGCTCTAAAGGGGTTGGTTTCTGCCAGCCTGTGTGGAAGGAGCAGGGAGCTCTGTGGGCACGGCTGGCTCAGGGGAGCATGGTGGGAATGCGATGGACTTGCTGAGCTCGTGCAGAGCTGGTGCTCTTTGGAAGCACAAACGCAGAAGGTGTGACCTGGGACTAGGCTGGGAGTGCTGGTGACAGGGGAGGGTGGCGAGGATGGGACCCATGACCTGAACAGACAGGAAAAGGCTGATGTTTGTGAAACTGCAGAAACCCGGCTGTTGGACAGGACTCTGACAAAGGTGGGGAGGGGGAGTGCTGCCTGTGGGCTACCCCAAGGGGTCTGGGCCCTTGGAGGAGGGGGGTGTGGAGGCTGTCCTGGGGGCTGAGTGCATGCAGGGTAGCGAGGCATCTGGGGAGGCACTCGGGCACATTCTGCGTGGTGCAGATGAGGGCGGTGGGTTTGAGC